AAGTACCATGGACTGTCAAAAGAACAAACAGATCTGTGTTGGAAGAAGTGCAGCCAGAGGGCTCCTTGGAGTCCAAGATGGACAATCTTCGTCTCTCATACTTCGGACATGTGGTAGGGTGGAGGGTCAGAGAAAAAGAGGAAGACCCCCAGCGAGATGGATTGGCAACATGGAAGCATCAATGGGCTCAAGCATGGCAATGATAGTGATGTTGGCCTAGGATTGGGCAGTGTTTCATTCTGCTGTGCATAAAGTCACTATGAGTAGGTACCGACTCGATGGCACCTAACAACAACAACAACCTCCATGCGTATAGATCAGGTTCGTCAAATTGTAGCATTTACCCTTGTTTCCTTTATCAAAAAATTTTTTAAAATTTTTTTGGTAATCTTCTAGTCGAGTTCTGATTATCAAGCCATCGAGGATAGGTCAAATAGGTACTCTCTGCAAGTTTGGATGTTCTTGTGCATCTCCCTTTACTTCATATCAGCTAGATGCTTCACTCTCAGCTCTAGCCCTCTGTGGCTATGTCCTTGTCCATGGGCTCAAGTGTCCCCAGGCCTCACCTCACCAGCCTTTGCTCTTCTCTTTCTCATCTCCAGGTCAATGGGAGTCAATGTACTGTGGTTGAACTCAGCCCATTTCTTCATTGCTGCCTGCTTTATATATTTTGAAGCTCTGTAATTAGGAGCAAAAAACATTTAGGATTATATGGCCTCTTGATTAATTGACCCTTTTATTCCTGCAGCAAACCCTCTCTTCAGTTTTGGTATGCCCTTGTAGAGATAATCTTCCTGTAGACATGCTTGGAATCTTCTGTACTTTTTTCGTTTGTTATTTTGAAGTTATTCAGTAACCTTGTATAATAGCTAAATAGTGTTCCATTGCTCATAGGGTTCTGTTGTACGAGTGTGCCACAATTTATATACCCCTTCTTTTAAAGAACTGCAGGTTATTTCTAAACTTGTGTTATAAATAAGGCTTCAGAGAATATCTTTATATTACACCTATGTGATTTCCCATATGTGCAAATATCTGCAGGACAAATTCCTAAACATGAAATTGCTGTGTCAAAGGATATGTGTTTTGAAATTTTGCTCCCTGGAGAGGATGAACTGTTTTATACTTTTCAGCTATCTGTGAGAGAGTATAGTTTCCCTGTGCCCTCCCAATATGTTTATTATTCAACTTTTTTCATGCTTGTGTTTTTGAAATAATGTTTATGAACATTATCAAAAGGTCATTTTTGTGGGAGATGTGTGTTCTGACCATTGGTCACTGTGACTGTCTGCTAGTGAATTAAACAGATGACCAAAGATTAATTTTCTTTGTATTCACAATTGTTTTACTCACTAAATCTATAAAGACCTAACCACAGCTTGGGTCTAGGTAATAAAGATGGAAAGGACTTGGGCCTTTCGTAGAAGAAGCTTACATTCTAAAGCTCACTATATAGATACAGGAAAAGCAGGAGCTATGTATGATGTAGCCAGCATGGTTGGAGAAAATTGGATAATGGCACAAGGAAAGAGGTGTTGGTAGATGTCTTCCGAATGTTGCCAAAGACTCATGATTTTATTATCCTTGGTGGTGAATGAAAGCCAGAAGCTGCCCAGGTGGGGAGTAAGAAGTCTGGTCTCCCAGCAGAGGAGCCAGCCCCAGGGTGGCTTCCTGGAGTCTGCACCTCCCTGCAGAATCCCCAACTGCCTGCAGGAAACCATCGGGCTGTGTACGCCTGTGATTGGAGGGATGCTGCCGGTTGGAATAATGAACACAGTAATGTCGGCAGAGATGATTGGCCAGGCCCTGCTGCAGTGAGAATGCAGCTTGGATGCTTGGGTCCTCCGCCTGGCTAATGATCATCAGTTGAGCGAGGACAGCTGAATAATTGGGAGCTGGAAGTTGCTGCTGCTTCAGAGACATCTGTTTGGCTATTACTTCTCCCTACCTCCTCCTCCCCTTTTTAAAAAAGCCAAACATTTGCTCATCATCCACCTGCAGAAAGTGGGTTTTACTGAAGAAGTTGCAGCTGCTCTCTTCTTGTTGCCAGCTACCCAGCAAGGCTCCTGAGGGAGCTGCTTCTCGACCAGGCACGACTGTGGTGCTAGCAAATTTGAAAGAGCAGGCAACAACCTTCGCGTGCAGAGTTTCTAGCCTTAGAACACTCCAGGCTAGACATCCAAACAGCTGGGCAGCCTGAGACCATTGGTATTGTGGTCACATCCCTCCTCCAAGTGAACAGTCACCACCGGCGGCATTTGGAGGGAGCCGTGATGCTGCAGATGCTGTGGCATTTTCTGTCTAGCTTCTTCCCTAGGGCTGGGTGCCAAGGCTCCAGAGAGGGGACAGATAATGAAGTCAGAGGCACCCCAGCACCTGCTCAAGGAGACCAGGTGTCAAGCTTTTTGGGGAAACAAAACGGAAGGGCTGAAGCCACGGACAAGAGTCCCACCATTTTACTGGTGGTCGGACCTGCTGAGCAGTTTCCTAAGGTAATGGCGCCCTCAAGAGGACTTTCTAGTTTAGGGGCTGGTTTGGGATCGGTTTTCCTGGAAAAACCGGGGTATGGGGAAGAAGGGAGGACTTTTCAATAAATCACTTTAGAATTGGGGGTAGGAGAGACGCACAACCTCTTTCTGTGATCTCTATAAAGCTTTGTTATCCTGTTTTATGACCACCCCAGTGTAGCCAGTGAGGAAAGGAAGGTTGTATTCAATAAATTTACCTTAGAATTTGTCAATGTGGCCTCAGGAATCCATTTGAAAGTACAGGACTAACTTTAAACTGTAGGGAAGGCCAAGCCATTGTTCAGTGCTGTCGCGTCGATTCTGACTCATAGTGACCCTGTATAGGGTTTCCAAGGAGTAGCTGGTGGGTTTAAACTGCCGACCTTGTGGTTTGCAATCCAGTGCTGATCCTACAGTGCCATACCAGGAGTCCTAAAATGGCAATGGAGTTGCCTTAAAAGTTGAAGCTAGTTGCCTAGAGCTGATTGGAGTGCGGGTGGAGGTGGAGGGAGCGTCTGTCTGTGAGTCCTGAAGGTCAGACTCCCCTTGCTGGGCCCTGCAGAAGACCTGGGAAGAAGACAAGGGAGGGATGGAGTTAGAAGAATATGGAGGCTGGTGCCCCTCCCAGAATGACCATAACCTGTGCTGAGCTCCAGGGCTTCTGTCCATCCCTTCGTGTGGGCTTTCCCATCTAATCCTCACTAGAGCCAAGGTAAGTCTAGTACTCCCATTTCCTAGATAAGGGAACTGGGGTTCAGAGAGGTTAAACAGTTTGCCCAGGTTAAAGCATTTAAGGAGCGATAGAGCTGAGATTTGACTACAAATATGTCTAGCACTTTGCCTTGTACTGCCTTACTTGCCCTTAAGAAAGCAATTTTGACGGTGACTCGTTGCGTTCTGGGGTCGGAAGTGAGATTGGCTGAGCTACAGCAGGAGTGACCTTGTCTGCCACTTGAGCTTTGACGATTATGAATCTTTTCTCCCATCTCAGGATGAAAATCAACTGGCAAGGAAAAGAGATCCTGCCTTGTGTCTGTAACATAGTTGTTGTTGTTGTTAAGTGCCGTCGAGTTGGTTCCGACCCATAGCGACATAGTAGATACTAAAAAATGTCTGTGGAACTGAACTGTTACATTTAAAAAATAAAATTTCCTGTTTCCGTTCCTAATAGGGAGGGACTTTGGTGCTTCAACTTTGGTAGCGGGTATTAAGGAGACACCTTGGTTTGTGATGTCTCCTTCTGGTTGTCAGGGGTCTTACAGAGCCCACCTGAGGCCTGAGGTGTGCGTTCTTACTGTGTTAATAGAGAGTGAGAGAGTGTCAACCTTTTATTGCTTTAGACAGGGTCCAAATTAGAAAGATACAAGAAATGGTGGTCAAACCTTATCTATAGATCTGCTTGCCTTATGCCCTCAACTGACTGGCTGTCTAAAATCAGCTACTTTTTGAGTTTAATAATTAACTGTCCCATTTCTCAGATCCAGCTCCCAGGGGTTGCTCCACATTAGGAGTTTCTGTCCTGAACAGTTAAGTTCCTGGACTGCAGAATCAAGAAGCTGTTGGAGGGTAGACAGGGGACTGAACCTGAGACCCACAGGTTCCTTGACTCTGGTCCCCAAAAGGAAGAGGAATCAGCAAGCTTCCAGGGGTGGGGGAATGAGGAGTCCTACTGATTTCAATTTGGATTTTTAATCACCTAAGTATAAGGAGCTCTGGTAGCATAGTGGTTATGAATCGGGCTGCAAGCCGTAAGGTCAGCAGTTCGAAACTACCAGCTGTTCCGCGGGAGAAAGATGAGGCTTTCTGCTCCTGTAAAGATTGACAGCCTCAGAAACCCTGTATAGGGTCGCTATGAGTCGGAACCAACTCCACGGCACATAACAACAACAAGCAAGGCAGGTTAGGGAGCTCTGGTAGTGTAGTGGTTACAGATCAGGCTGCTAACCTCACAGTCAGCAGTTTGAAACTAACAGCTCTTCTGCGAGAGAAAGATGAGGCTTTCATGGTACATAACAACAACAACAAACAAGGCAGGGTGGTTTAAAGCGTGAAAGAAGGCAGTGTGAGCTCTTTACAAGAAGATAAACTAAGATTTGGGTGGTAGGAGAATATATACAGCAAGCATCCTTTTCCAGGACATTCTCTAGGGTGATTGAGGTTTTGATCACTAGGTGACCTGGCCTGGTCTCACCATTTCTCTCCAGAAGAGGTGTTCAGATACCATGGAAACCTCACACAAAAGCTCATTCTGGTTCTCAGGCATCTCAGTTTCCCACAAACACTACTTTGTTTTGCTCCCACTTCCCCTGCTTAAAGATGTCTGCTAGCGAGTCCAGTTCCTGTGAGCTTGATTCTAGGAACTGTTCCAGTCTTTCTCTTTATCTTTGTCTTGCAGTTAATCTGCAGTTGGGAAAGAAAGCCATTACTCCGGAGTAGGAGGTGCCCTCAGCGGCATTCAAGCTTTCAAATCCTGAGGGGCTGTCTTCTCAGAAACTCAGAGAATTTTGTTCATTGTGTATCTAATTGCCAAGTGTAGGCAGGTTTCATTGGAAACCAGCTCCAAAGGGCTGTCATGGCAACCTGATCTTCAAATGACACTCCTGGCCACAACAGCCAATGAAGTTTGGGAGCCTGACAAATGGGTGGGACTTGAACAACCGGATGTTGGCAAGGCTCCTTCACATATTAATATTTCTGGCTGGGTCTGAGTCATTGCAGAGGAGGTGGGGGAATGCTTTATGACCTAATGCTACATACACTCCCAAAGGCACTGTAGCTGCCCTCTTCTTACTCATGCTCTTCTGGCATTTTCAGGAAACACCTGCTTTTTTGGCATGTAACAGAGTGGTAGAACAAGGAAAGCTTATGGTAGTAGCAATAGCAGGTTTGACGGTAAGATGCTCATGAGAGGAACTGCTGGTACTTTCGAGATTAAGTGAAACCACTGCATTCTAGGGGATCTAGAATTACTGTCCTTTCTGAACACTAGCTGTTCTAGTAATAGATCTCAGGAGAAGAACTAAAGTAGATCTGGGTCACAGAATTAGAATAAGGAAAGAGAGAGATGTTGTATCAAGATCTCAGAGAGCAGTCAGCTGGTGTGAAACGTCAGGAGTGGAACATGAGCCCTGCTTTTGTCATCTTCCTTATTGTACTTTTCCCATAAGAGTTCAGACACTGTAACAAGAATAGGTTCTTTGCTGGGTTTTTAGCTAAGGCTCGGGTTGCACCTTTCCCTCATACAGACGTGTGGGCTTCAAAAGGTTCATGGGAAAACGGAATTAAAAGACAATGGAATTTTCCCACAAACTTTTTGAAGTTCATCATTATATGAGGTGTTGATTGCTTAGTGTAATTCTTGGTATCAGGCATTTTGTTGGAATCTAAATATTAAAATCTCCTTGGGGGAATCTAGGTCCTTGGTGCTGATGTAAGTGGATGTTGTAACAAGAGCCCTGCCCTGAATATCATGTGGCTCAGCCCTGCGCTGACAGACTTTGAGCAAATCAAGGTCATCCCTACAAGCCTGTTTGCTCAGCTCAGAGATGAAGAGGATGCTATCCAAAGCCTCTTTGCCCTACTGTGTGCAATTCCAGAGATAGAGAACCCTCACTTTAGAGGAATTCCCATTTTCTGTGTGAAAATGGAGTTCTGAATTATCTGTGGAACTCAGAATGATGGGTGCCTTAAAATAAATGCGCAAACACCGGTTTAGGTTTGTCCAATGGAGACATTCTGTGGGACTTGATCAGAGCAGCAAAACAAAAAGAAATTAGAATCCTTTTTAAAAAACTAGTGTGAGAATTGAATGAAGGTCACATCTTGACGGGTACATGCTGAACCTTTCGGAACGCATTTCCTGACCAACACTGCTGGTCTCTGTAGAGTAATGTACTTTACTCTAATCCAAGAGATCCCAGTCTGCTTTTCTAGAAACCAAACTGCTCTCTTTGGATAGCAGCTTGTCCTTACAATACAGAATGAGTTTGCTTTTAACTTAGTATCATTTTCAGATCTCTTATATTTGTTTTGTAAATATATCATTAAAAACCAAATGGTACAGTTATGTTTACCAAACTTATTTGAAAACTTTATTGGAAAATGAGCATATCCAGTTGAATAACTTAAATTATTCAGTCAATTTTTGCCATTTTGATACTTGCTAACCCCAAATTATAACCATGCATTTGTATCCATCCTGGTATTGAGAAAATGTAGTCTATATTAGGAAGTGGCATGCTGTAAAAGAATAAGAGGCAGATTCCTTTCTCATCTTGGTGATGTGGACTCTTCCTCCACAGCCCGTGTTCTGCACCAATCTCTATGGGGAAGGAATGAAATAGAAAACACAGGGTAGGCTGGAAAACATCCTCTCAAGTCATGACAGAATCTTGAAAATCCCTTCATTGGAACACAGAGGACTGAGATTTTCTCTCACCCTCACTTAAAAGGGATTCTATGGCCCTATCGGCACAGTTCTTGTTAAGTGCCTTTGAGTTGGTTCCGACCCATACCGACCCTGTACAGGGTTTCTGAGGCTGTAAATCTTTACGGGAGCAGAAAAACCTCATCCTTCTCCCGTGGAGCGGCTGGTAGTTTCAAACTGCTGACCTTAAGGTTCGCAGCCCAATTCGTAACCACTACGCTACCAGAGCTCCTTGTCAGTCGGCCCAGTAGAACTTTCTAAAGTGGTGAGATGTTCAGTGACTACACGTGGCCATTGAGCACTTGAAATGTAGCCAGCAACTGAAGATCTAAATTTTTACTTTTGTTTAATTTTAATTAACTGATATATAAATTAGTATTGAACAGGACAGTTCTAGATAAAAAAAGCTATGAGAACACAATGTTCACGTGTTCTGAATGGAAATGGGCTTTGAAGATGAAATCTGTAGATTTTATGTGCTGCCCACATGGGGTTGCTGTGAAAATCGGCTCATAGTTTGGTTCGGGTTTAGCTGTGTGAGGCCCTCACTGACCGACCCAGGTTGGTGTTTCTGAGAAGTCCTTCAGCACAAAGACCTTTAGATGCTACACCATCCTCTTCTCACCCCCATTATGTCAGCTCTTTGGGCCTACAGTCTGTTGAGCCTTGGCGAGTCCTTCAGTGGAAGAGGTTGACTGTGAGGTGTTCAGATAGCAGAGAGGTCTGAGAAGATTGCCAGGAGCTGGGGCCTTCTCTGGAACTGTGCCTGGAAGAGTGTATGTGGCCACGGTCATGAGTCCCAGAGGCAGCAGGACCCTTTGCAGGATGGAGTTCTCTCTCCAGGAGGCTGGGACCTGACTCTTCAGACACTCCCTCAGATTCTTGTCTTCACAGCCAAACCAGACCTGTTTTCAGTGGACATTGATTCTTTCTACAGCCAGTATTTTCTCTGTTAAGAATGATTTACTACGAGGAGAAAACTGTTGTATTTAGTGTGACGCATTTGGGGACCTTGTGTAAAAATTTTATCATCTGTTTGTTAATTTGGAGTGCTTCGTTGGTGACAAGAGGGAGAAGGTTTGTTTGGCTCTAATAATCCAGGCAGGGCAGAGTGCTCAGTTTGTCTCCTAAGAGTTAACAGTAGGAGCAGATGACGTCAATTTTGGTCTTTACTTAGCGCTTGAGCAATCTCCTGCTGCTCTTCTAGGCAGGGGTCTGTCTCCATTGGTGGTTGGCAAGGAACTACAGTAGGTGGAACTTTTTTTTTTCTTTTTCAATTAAGTAAAAGGGCAGGGCTTAAGCAGCCAATGGCAGATGAGTCCCAGCATGTCTTGTTCAAGTTTCCCCGGCACAGGCAGCATTTCCTGCTCTTCACGCTGCCAGAACTTGCTCTCTTGGTGGTAGCCAAGCCAAGCACCCCACTTCCTCACCAGCATGCTCTGCCTATGCCTTTATGTGCCATTCATCGGGGAGGCCCAGACCGAGTTCCAGTACTTCGAGTCCAAGGGACTTCCTGCTGAACTGAAGTCCATTTTCAAACTCAGTGTCTTTATCCCTTCCCAGGAGTTTTCTACCTACCGCCAGTGGAAACAGGTACCTGTACAGGGGACCACATCCAGAAGTCACGGCCGTCTGGTACTGAAACAGTGTTTGCTGAATGAATGGATGAATGGTATTAGGGTTGTTAATGTATGAAATGGCCCCCCCCCTCCAAGAGGAAAGAATGTCAGAAATTTGGATGTTTCTCCTCCCCGGGGCTGTGCGGTGGCGTCTGGCAGAAGCTCGGTATTACAGGAATGACTGGCTTTCATGTGACTGCAAGGGGGTCTGGAATTATAGAGGAGGCACTTGTGGGAAATGGAATTTCTCAAAAGAATCTCCTTGTTGCAGGGTTTTCCTGAGAAGCCAACCCATTGGCTAGGATGGGGTCTGAGTCAGGGAAAGGTCCAGCTGCTGTCAGGCTATTATTGCCCTGAGCCTAGAGGCCAAGGGAAGAACCTTAGAGATGGCCATGCTTTCTTGAGGGCTGGAAAGGGAGCCCTCACATGATCTAGACATGTCTCTTGGACATCTCTTTCTAGCAGGGAAGCGCCAGGGATCCTTATCGTTTTAGAGATGGGGAAACTGATCCATATACAGTCTGGGGGAGGGGGATTACCTGCTGCTATTTTGTTAGAGCTCCGTGCTTTCTCCAGTGCTTATGGTGGCAGTTGAAAATGTGACCTGCACGTCCCAGAAAGGAGACAGAAGATCGAGTGGTTTTTGAGGTAGCAGTAGGAACTTTGAGAGTATTCTGAGATGAGCTGCACTGGGTACATCATTGGGTTGTGTGGACAGATCACCTCAGTGGCAGAGCAGCCAGCAGACAGAGATCAAAGGGCTTCACACATAACTTCACCTCCTCCCCAAATGGAATGCAGATTCTATTTCCAATCCTGCCATAAATCTGGAGTGATGGTTTGTATCACTCTTGGCTGAGAGCACGAGTGTCTACAGGAAGTTACTATAACTCCAGATAGCAGATAAACTATGTACTAACATCTGTCCAGCCTTCCATCCACACCCTGTGCAGTATGCTTTTAAATCATGAGAGGTCACGGGGCATCTGTCCAGGCCTGCTTGCTCTCAGCACTTCTAGTGGCTGAGCTCATTGTGGGTATCAGGGACATAGGAAGACTATGCTCATTTTCCTTAGGAGATTCTCAGTTCTAGTTTTGGCATGATTCAGGCTGTTGGCTGGGTTGAATTAACCCACTGGTGACCTTGAGGATGGCAGCAGGAGGTCTAGAGAAGCAATTCAGTTCTGACAGGCTCCATCACTAGCTTGGATAAATTTCTTAACCTCTACGCTTGTAAAGCAGGGGAAGTGACAGCACCTCCCAGAAATATTGGAGAGGCTTCATCGGTTTCTGAAAACAATTGGATATCCCATGATATGTGGTACTCACTGCCATCTACTCAATCCCAACTCATCACAACCCTACATAGGATTTCTGAGACTCAGTCTTTACGGGAGCAGATAGACTCATGTTTCTCCTTGGGGTTGCTGGTGGGTTTGTACTGCCAACCTTGCTATTAACAGCCCAATTCTCGACCCATTGCGCTACCAGGGCTCCTTGTGGTACATGGTAAGTGCATGGTAAATGGATACTCTTTTGTAGAGAAATTCCAGTTGCTAAGCATCCAAAATGGGTTGCAACTGCTGAACAAAGAGGCCAAAGATCAGGCCCTCTTAAAGGTCACTAACTAAACTAAGTGCTGGGTTGAGAGAGAACTGACGTTGTTTATATCACCCGCTTCCCTGAGGTTCAGGACTGGCAGTGCCATCATTTGGCCAAGAGCAGTGCCCCGGCCCCCAGAGTTCTCCCTGGCAGTGTTTCTGCCAAGCAGGCATTGGCAAGAGCCAGCTTTGCCCTATACCTTCATCCTGGACACTAGATTTTCCATGAATCAATGCCACATTTTAGGGATTTTAAAAAAAAAGTCAAGTCAACTGTAGAGTTCCTGTTAGAATCTGGTGTTCCATGGTCTTCCCACATTTGGGCTTGTCAGCTAGGGACAGCTCTGCAGAGGGACTAAGCAAATGACCCTGCCTGGCTGAGCAAGCTGGTCTCAAGACACTTGTCCTGAGAAGGTGCCAATACCTCCAGAGTTGGCCTTTGTCTGAGGTCTTCTCCCTGGAGCTCCCCCTTTTCTCTTTGTATGTGAGGGAAGCTAGGTGTGCGCTCGCTTGAGTTCTGGCCAGCACTTGGAGGTGTGAGTGGTGGCTCTGAAATGGGTTTGGAGCAAGGGAAGCATCTTGTGTTATTGGGGCCTCCTCTGCTCATGGATTAGCACAGAATGTTGTCCTATAAGGGACAAGGAGAGACTGATGCATGATCTCATGGATGAACCCTTGATTTTTGTTTTATAGAAAATTGTACAAGCGGGAGACAAGGACCTCGATGGGCAGCTAGACTTTGAAGAGTTTGTACATTATCTCCAAGATCATGAGAAGAAACTGAGGCTGGTGTTTAAGAGTTTAGACAAAAAGAACGATGGTAAGCATTGCCTTCCAGAGTTGCCAGCTGACCTGGCCTTGGGACTGTTGGTGGGACCGGCTCTTCAGCCACTGCCTTTGTTGTTACAGGACGCATCGACGCTCAGGAGATCATGCAGTCCCTGCGGGACCTGGGCGTCAAGATATCTGAGCAACAGGCAGAGAAAATTCTCAAGAGGTAAATGTTTAGCCTCTATCTGGTATAACAAAAGTGTAACTAAAGGAGGAATCCTGGACTAACTCTTGGTGCCATTTGTTGTATCAGCCTCATTTCTCTGAACTTTGCCTGCTTATGGTTTGCAAGGAGGAATAAGTAACCCCTCCCCTGACCTAGAGGTGGGCTCTCATTTGAAGACTCACCAGTCCCCTGGCATGCTGTGCCCATCCCCTTTCCCCAGTGGTGCATGAAGAGATGAGGCTAGTTGGGAGGATTTCAAGTAGGTGAAAGGGGAGACCCAGGGTCTCTGCTTGCGACACTCATTTTAAGGTGGATTTCGTTCTTGAAGCTGGTGACTGTTTGACTGATATAATCCAGCGTGTTTCCCTGCATTACCTGGTGAGCTGGGTCCCGTGGGATAGTAGAGTTGTTGCTGTACCTGGGAATTGTATGGAATAGATCTAAGAGGAACTGTCCCTCCTAGATAAGCCTTTCCCAAATTCTGAGCCCCGTTGCTGGCTAGTGCCCCTTGCTGGTACTAGGGCCTGTAGCCTCTTGTACAACTTCCTGGGGTCAGGTCACTGTGGCGGGAGCATGTCCTTGTGCCATGCTGTCTCAGTATCTTTGGGTGTGTGCCTGCTTCACTAACATGTGCTCTGAGCATTTATTTGTATTTTTCCTCTCTCCTGTGCATCCTCCTTTGTCTGTCTGTCAGAATACGAACGGGCCATTTCTGGGGCCCTGTCACCTAGTAAGTATTCGTGTCACCCAAGTGACTGCCTTCTTCCTGACCAGATCGGGGTTCCTGTGGGTCATCGTATTACCATTTTTGTACAAAGTGGGGTGTGGTGCCATCTGGCCTTCTCTCATCGGGGGTAGCCGGGGCACTGCTTCCTCGGCTTGCCTTCAGGTGGGACGTGTAGCTGACAGATAGGGGTGTTAGCTGACGGCACCCTGGCATGTTTACATGGGTGACTGACTGTGTATTTGTCTTGCAGCATGGATAAGAACGGCACGATGACCATCGACTGGAACGAGTGGAGAGACTACCACCTCCTGCACCCTGTTGAGAACATCCCCGAGATCATCCTGTATTGGAAGCATTCCACGGTGAGGGCCCTGCTGGTGCCGAGGAACGCTTTCTCCATCACATGTCATCCCTCTACACTGGTCCCCACATGCTGGCCAACCTGAACTGCCAGAACATTCCACGCACACAAGCTTCCCTCTGGCCTGAACCCTCTGTTCCCCACATGCTACCTGTCCCCACATGCTACCTGTTCAAGCTCCTGTTCAAATACTTCCCACTCCCCATACTTGTTTTCATAAAGCAGTATGAGCCTTCCTCTTAGGGGGTAGGAGTTGGGTAAAATAAACTAATGATAGATATGTAAAGCTATTAGGCCCCCTCACACACACATTGTCCCACTTTTTGGTGTCACTTATCTTTCTGGCAAAAGAAGGTGTCCCCACAGTGGCACCCATAGTGCACTTTCACCCCATGTCAGCTGTCGTTCCATGTTCCGAACGTAGACCTGTGTGGCACATCAACCTTCCTGCCCACAAACCCCCTGGCACATCCCTCTAACTGGTCCTCACTTCATCCCCCCTGTCTCTCTCATCTACCTTGGAGTGCCAGCTCTGGGTGACTAGGCCAGTGGGCTCATCCTCATCTGTACCCACAGTGCCCTGGCCAGGGTCTCGCCCTAAGAGGACACCTGGCATCTTGGTTGAGTGACATTAAGTGACTCTTCAGGGACAACAGCTGGCCCATGTTGCTGGGGTCAAAGGAGGCCGCCCAGAAGAGCGGGTGTCATGCAGGCACCACAGCCCTGACATATTTGCTTTGGACTTACATAATGTTCTGCCAGCGGGATCTAGTTACACATCAGGTTTCAGAGGCCTTTTCTCCCGACTTGATCTTCAGCTGAAATGCCTCTGTAAGCACTGAAAAGGCTGTCAGATGATTTTATAACAATAGATGTATCTCCCTGCTGTCCTCAGATTCTATACCTGAGCCTCTTGAAGGCCAAAACAGGGATAAGAGCTTAGCCCACCTTTACAAAGTGAAGCGGAAGGCCCTCCCTCAGCTTCCTCCCTGGAGGCCTCGGCCTTCTTACCATCTATTTGGCTTCTTGACAGTAGATAGAATGATGTGGAGCCGGTCAGGCTGCCAGAGTTCTCCTGAAAGTGTCAGTCAGGGGTCTGCTCCTGAGTCAGTGCCTTTACCTATGTGGGTCTTCCTCACAGATCTTTGATGTGGGTGAGAATCTGACGGTCCCCGATGAGTTCACAGTGGAGGAGAGACAGACGGGCATGTGGTGGAGACACCTTGTGGCAGGAGGCGGGGCGGGGGCCGTATCCAGAAGCTGCACAGCTCCCCTGGACAGACTGAAGGTGCTCATGCAGGTAGGTCAGGAAATGCACCCCAGACCATCATGGGCTTGGTTGGTGGGTTTTCCCCTCCCTTGGCTGTGGGCCCACGCTTTTCTAATCTAATAAATGGGAATTATTGCTTGGACAAGGATAACACAGGTTCGTGTGGCCTTTTGTACATACTGATCTAATTTTGTCTGTGGCACTTAAGCCAGGCATCAGGTTACAGAGATTAGAACAGGTGAGTCCAGTGGAACTGGGGTATGGCAGGAACCTCTTTCCTTAAGCCCATTCTTGTAGGACTTCACAGTGGGGATGGGTGTAAGTAGGTCCTCACCTGACCCAGATGCCAGTTAGAAACAGCCCCGTTACCTTGACTGAGCACTGGACTCCACATCCACAGAACAGAGATAAGCCAGGCTGACGTTGGGCCAGATTGCAAAATCAACCTACGTAAGAAAGCTCTGTTGGACTTTGGTGTCTGTCTGAACAGTAGCCAGTCACTCCCTCACCCCTTGGCACTTTGTGTGCCAGGAGCTTTCTTGGGAAAGGCGTTTTTCCCTCCCGCTTAATCATCCTGGGCCTCCCTTGGTCTGAAGTTTTGTTGATAGCTCTGTGTGAGCTCCTCATGTTATATTGAAACAAGGGAGGCAAACTTGGGAATTTGTACCCCAGGGCTCACTTCACAGCTGTGTGACCTTAGACAAGTCACTTCACCACCAAGACTTCTGTTCCTGAGATGAAATTAAGGGACTTAAAAAAATTACCTAACTGGTTTGATTCTTTTAAAACAGAATTCCTAGGAATATTGTAGGGAGTAAAAGCAGTCCTCGGGTGAGATGTAGCAATGCCTGAGACTTGCTTAAAAGTAACCCAGCATGGATGGGGCAACAGGGTATTTAGAGTAGCCATGGTTTAGTAATCCTCACAGGATCATTATAGAATTCTCTCTACATTTGAACATACTTTTCCATAATAAAAAACTCAATTGATTTTCTTTTAAATGTGGTCCTTGAGGAGGTGTTTGGCACAGCGTCTGCACACCGTGTGGTGTGTGGTAAACATAAGCCCCAGTCAGTCATGTTTGAGTCTCACTGTCTGGGTCCATCCTCAGAATACCAGAAGACAGAGCCTTCCCAGACGGTTATCTGGAGTAAGAAGAACCATTCTGCCAGACCATGGCAGCGATGAACCCCGTTATCGCTGACAGCTTTGCTTCCTCCTACCCCCAACCCAGGTCCATGCCTCCCGCAGTAACAACATGTGTATTGTTGGTGGATTCACCCAGATGATTCGAGAAGGAGGGGCCAAATCACTCTGGCGGGGCAATGGCATCAATGTCCTCAAAATTGCCCCTGAGTCAGCCATCAAATTCATGGCATATGAGCAGGTGAGCACGAGGCTCCCCACAAGAATCCCCATTGTCTACTGCTTACTGAGCATCCCCCAGGGCAAGGTCCCCACCCTAGGGATTTTCCCAGAAACTGGGAGCGAGTTGCTATAACCAGGAGACTCGGGAAATGGGAGATCTGGTTCTGACCCCACTCTGCCACCAGCTCCTTCTATTTGGGGGCAGTATAAAATGCGTCAGAGACACCAGGTCACAGATAAGGTCCTTTCCAGCTTTCCACCTGAGTCAGAAAGGCCACGTGGGGACAGGGGCTCTGGTCCCCTGGTACATCTGTGTGCTTGTTTCCTTTCTAGATCAAGCGTCTTGTCAGTGGTGACCAGGAGACTCTGAGGATTCACGAGAGGCTGGTGGCAGGGTCCTTGGCAGGTGCCATCGCCCAAAGCAGCATCTATCCCATGGAGGTGAGGGGTCACTAGGGTCAAGATTGTGCCCGTGAGAGCAGGGACTGGGGGTGAGGAGTGGGCCGTGCTTAGTCCTCCCCATCTGGTTCTGCAGGTTCTGAAGACCCGGATGGCCCTGAGGAAGACAGGCCAGTACTCAGGCATGCTGGACTGTGCCAGGAAGATCCTGGCCAAGGAGGGGATGGCTGCCTTCTACAAAGGCTACGTTCCCAACATGCTGGGGATCATCCCCTATGCCGGGATTGATCTAGCTGTCTATGAGGTGAGGCCCTAGACAAGCTGAAGAGCTTAAGAACCCACTCCCACCCAAGCCTCTTCCATTCGTTGTCTCCAAACAGTCTTGCCTCCCCTCAGCGTAGATACTGAGGTGGATTGACTACATAGCACCACCAATCTGGGGCCTCCTTACAAACTCTTGTTTACTGCATGACTCTGGCAGGAGACCTCCTGTCACACCGCCTGCCCAAGGTCCCTCAGGAGCAGATCTCCAAAACACAATGACCCCTGAGCAAGCTCTATACCACAGAGCTCGAACTCACTATGTGTATGTGTGTGTGTTTCTCTCATGTGCGCGCATGGGGGAGGGCCAGTACTCCCTCTTCCTTATCCTCACTCCCCACTGACAAAAGACAAAATGCAGACAGTAAGGTCCCCGGTTCACAGGAAGCTGCCCTCCAGCCAGCCACTGCCTTACGCTATCTTTCTCCCTCCTTCCAGACGCTCAAGAATGCCTGGCTGCAGCGCTATGCTGTAAACAGTGCGGACCCCGGTGTGTTTGTGCTCTTGGCCTGTGGCACCATGTCCAGCACCTGTGGACAGCTGGCCAGTTACCCACTGGCTCTGGTCAGGACCCGGATGCAGGCACAAGGTAAGACTGGTCCTGGGCCTATACCTAGGGGCCCATCCCACCAGGAGGCAAGCTGGGACCTAGGGAGTTGCGTTGCTGAGGAAAGATATTTGATGGGTGGCTGGCCCCTCTCATTGCAGCTTCCATTGAGGGTGCCCCAGAAGTGACCATGAGCAGCCTCTTCAAACAGATTCTGAGGACTGAGGGGGCCTTTGGCCTGTACCGAGGGCTGGCCCCCAACTTCATGAAGGTGATCCCTGCTGTGAGCATCAGCTACGTGGTGTATGAGAACCTGAAGATCACACTGGGGGTACAGTCACGGTGACGGGACAGAAGGCAGCCCTCCCGGCAGACTCACTGACCCTGGACTTGTGGCCTCAGGACATGGAGCCATCTCATTCTGTGAATGTGCCAACACTAAGCTGACTGAAGCCAAGCTGTGAAGCCCGGGGATGTGTCCACAAGGGAGGGGGAGTTGGCATGCCCGCTGGGTTTGTCCTGCTGACCCCGGCTGACCCTCATTTTGATTTCCGAGGAGACCTGTGGGTATTCCTTGGTGTCTAGGGGTCAGGTCAGCAGGATCCAGGCTCTTGTGCATAGGGACAGGGACATTCCTTTAGTGCCTGCCACATAGCAGAGCTTGGAAACCAGCTTAGTCCTTCCATGTTGCCCTAGCAGCCAGACCATCACAGCCCAGGCCCTTTGCCCTCTGGCCTGCTGAGCGTGTTCCCCATGCCCACTCTGCTTCCTCTCTGCTGTCTAATACAGTAAGAGGAGAGCGACTCACCCACACTCCTTACCTCTCCTTGTCTCCCTCCCACAATCCTGTGGTGAAATGTCACAATTACTTCCCAGACCTACAGTGTCCATGCTGAGCTGGTGGTGCAGGCAAAGGGGAATGTAGCTTTTATGCTCTCCCTCCTCTGAACTTGGAGCAGATGGGCCCTGGGTGTCATGTGCATGCACATGGCGTCCCGGAAGGCTCATGCCATGGGCAGGAGTCCAGAGGCTTTGCTCTCTGCCTAGGGTCTCATGGTGGGCGCTCTGAGCTGGCTCTAGCCTCTGTCAGGACTGGCTCCAGTTCTGCACCAAATGTGCTGTCCCAGCTCAGTGGCATGAGGGCGACGGGGCATCGTTTCAGGGCAAGTCATGTCTTTGTCCCAAGTGAGAGAAGAAAAAGGTGTTAAAGGCCTTAATTGTATATTGTTGGGAAAAGGGTTTTTGTTCAGAAAGACAAGCTGGACAAATGTGTACATTTTTTGCTTCCAGAGAGAAGACAGAGGGAGTAGACTATTCTGACTGCATTAAGTCTGTTTCTGAAGCCCCAAGGGATTTATGTCCAATCCCAACTAGGGCAAAGTGGGACCAGCCTCACATTCCACTGATGCAACATATCACACTGCTTGGAGCCTATTTATTTTGTATTTATTTGAACAGAGTTATGTCTTAACTATTTTTATAGATGTGTTTAATTAATAGCTTGTCATTTTCAAGTTTTTTGTATTCATATTTATGTTCATGGTTGATTTATACCTTCTCGACACCGCATGGTGGAGGTAGGGAGAGAAAAGGACAGAAGGAACCATGGGAGCTACCTAGCCCATACTACCCACGGTTTTGTCATGTCTGTCCAAAGAAATTCTTGGAACTGGAGGCAGAGAAGGAAGGAGAGAAGGGTGGGGCAGGTAGCTTGTCTTTGGCAGTCGGGGCTGGGCCTGCACTACTTGGGAGCTTCCAGTTATGTGTGTGCATCCCATAAGTGAGCCCAGGAAACCTCAGTATCTGAGGGCCTGAAGGCCTGTTGGATTAGGGTTGGGAAGATTGGGAGAAATCCCAGGGACATTGAAGGTGGAAGTCCATATCATTTCCTGGACTGGGAGAATTTTATTATTTCACCCAAACAGCAGTGAGGTATACTTCTCACTGTGGGTTTGCGGTGAATTGGTGGGGTGCTAGAAGAGCGGGTATCTGGCCTTCATCCCCATTGGTAAAGTGGGCTCCTTCCCTCCCAGCCAGCCCTTTGCTGCCCCCACTTGATCATGCTGGTCAACTTGCAACTGAACACAGTTGCACTTCCATTCCACCAGTATGGCCTAATAAGGACATTTTAATAGGATGCAAAGATCAATGCAAAAATTGTTATAAATATATATAGCTATAACTGGAATTTGTCAAAGAGCAAATTAAGAACAAATTGGAAGTTGTCATTTAAAAGAGTCATCTAATAAAATTGTTTCAAAGCGGCTGACGGAACCATGATTTTTATGATTTGGGCCTGGTGGTGTGGGGGCATGTTAGGTGAATCTATTTTTCCCCTCAGCAATCTCAGCAATTATTCCTTCTCAGCTTCTTGGAGGTGCTCCCTTTTTAATGGTGTGTGTACAGGTTAAATTTCTGGATTCTCTTGACAAACTCACCGAGTTGAGTGTGGCAGCAATTCAGCCCTCCTCTGATTGGGCCCGTATTTAGCATAGATAGCTGCACATTCTCTCCTGCTTGAGACACCATCTTCTTGTGGACTCTAGAAAGTGTTCTGTCTTCTTTCTCAGCCTCATAGCTCCTGACTTAAATGTAGAAGGACCCCAAAGGGCCCATCTTTCTGACTTAAATGTAGAAGGACCCCAAAGGGCAGTCTTAGCCCTCTCTTTATACTGCACTGGACAGCTAAGCACAAGGTCAGCAGTTCAAACCACCAGCTACTCCCAAAAACACTATATAGGGTCACTATGAGTCAGACAGCACTTAACAACAGTAATCATAGAGCCATTACTTTAAATATCTCTATTTAGATGACCTTCATTTTGTCCCTGGAACTAACTCCAGATTCATAAATCCAATTCCGAACCCAGTATCTTCACTTGGCTGCCTAATAGGCATCACGTGCCTAAAATGCTTTAAAGTAAACTAATTTTCCTCTCAAGCCTGCTTCTCCCATCATTTTTCTCTTCCCAGTAAACGGCAACTCCTTATTTTCATGATTTGAGCCAAACTTGACTCCTTGGGTCCCTCTTATTCTAGGTCAAATCCATCAGCAAATCCTGTCAGCTCCACCTTCAAAACATATCTGGAGTCGGCTCTTTTCACCCCATTGCCCTTGCTACCTTGCCTAAGTTAATGTCATTTTATACCTGAATTATTGCATAACCTCCTAAACATGTGTCCTTAGCTTCCCCTCATTCTTCACCCAGAGCCTGAGTGTGGATCTTGTTCACTCTTTTGCTTAAGATCCTCCAGTGAATAAGCAGACCACAGAGACTTGGGAAGAGTATTTGCATTGACATAAAATCTGACCAAGGATTTGTATCCAGAATATATTGTGTAATGTGTGTTGTTTTACTATAAAACAACCCAGTTTAAAAATCAATACATATCCCTTCTGCCTTTGGAGGACTCTTTCTTTTCATATATTATACAAGAAGAGTCAGCAACTGCTGCCACATAGCCAAGCTACAATCACATTCTCTAAAACACCAAAACCCAGGCAAGAACCAATACCAAATGCCATATACTAGGGAAACAGACAATGCCTATGAAAGTTACTCTGAGTTAAGCAATAAGAAGATTGAGAAGGGAAGCTCACATCCTGATCACATCTACCTGGAAGCAATCAGAAAGCATAAAAAATACCAAAACACATACTCAGTTAAGTATTAAGACTACACTAAACATGTCCAAGAAGCAAAAGCAGATGACCAAATGTAAAAATCTTCCCTAAAAGCCGAGACTGTAAATTCCAAAAAGGCAAAGTTTCCCCCCGCCCCCCTCCAAAAAAAAGCTAAAGAGGATAGAGAGAAACACTGTTAACTGATGATGTATGGAGGGGATTATAATCAATATAATGAAACAAGTCATATGAATGGTTGAATGTGAAACTGATGATGTGCCCTGTAAACTTTCACTCAATCCACAATAAAAACCTTAAAAAAAGAAAAAAAAAAAGCAGATGACCATATCAGCACATGTCCAGGAACAAGATAAAATGTCTGAGACAAATGACCTAGAGGTAGACCTGGACTCCATTCTGGAAGGAAGGCAGGCCTTGGAAATGCCTGAGAAAGAATTCAGAAAAATGATTATAAAATGTTTCAAAACACTTTACAATGGAGTTGAGAAAAATAAGGAAGAAGTCAGGAAAGTGCTACAGGAACAATCAAATAAGATAGATACAGCATTGGAAACAATTAAAAACCTACAGAAAGTGGTCCAAACGATCAATAACAAAATATCAGAAATAGACAATACACTGAAAGGGCAAAGGAGTAGAATAGAGATGGAAGGCAGAACCAGTGAGCCGGAAAAAAAATCAATATCACTGAGAAGAGCAAACAGAAAAAACGGATAATAAAATCTGAAGAAGGTCTAAGATTCATGTTGGACAACATGAAGAGGAATAACTTAAGAATTATCGGCATTCCAGAACAAGAATCACACAAGTCTGCAGAGGAAATAGTTGAAGACCTGCTGGAAGAAAATTTCTCTAACATCCTGAAAAGTGAAAAGGTAGACATTCAAGAAGCTCAACGAACTTCAGGAAGGATAGACCCCAAAAGAAAAGCACCAAGACATATCATAATCAAGCTCTCCAAAATCAAAGATAAGGAGACACTTCTGAAAGCAGCCAGGGAAAACAGAAGTGTCACATACAAAGGCAAGCAAGTCAGATTAAGCTTGGATCTCTCAGCAGAAACCATGCAAGCAAGAAGGCAATGGGGAGACATATAAAACCCTGAAAGAAAGAATCTTTTATCCAGCAAAGTTATCAAATACAACAGTGTAATCAAAACATTCCAGGATAAACAGAAGCTAAGAGATTTTGCCAAAACCAACCCTGACTACAAAACATCCTAAAGGGAATTCTGTGCACTGAGAACCAACAAGAACAGATAACAACCAGAGATTGACATACATGGCAGCACCTACCAGAATTAAGTCAACAGAAGGAAGAGTCAAGGACAACAAAACTATAAGAACAAACTCAGAGAATCTGGGAGGTCAGTCTATGATCAAAACAAATACAATGTAAAAGAAGGTAAACACATAGGAACAGAGACCCAGATGGTAAGGTCAGGTAGATTACAAGATAAAATAGACTGCACTAAATGGAGAGAAAAGTTAATGGACTATAAGGCAACCTCAAAGAAAATGAACACTTCATAACATACAAAGAAAATGAAAATCCAAGAAGAACATGGAAACACTAAAACTATGAGGAAACTCACAAGAAAGAACACAAAAAGTATGAACTCAACAAAGGAAGACACACAGAACAAAGAAAGCAGCAACACCACAAAAAAACAAACAATCCATACTATTGATAATTACACT